GCTGCTGCTGCTGCTGCTACTACTACTACTACTACTGCTGCTACTACTACTACTGCTACTGCTACCACAACAACTGCTGCTGCTGCTGCTGCTACTACTACTACTACTACTACTACTACGACGGCTACTACGACGACGACTACTCCTGCTAGTCAAGCGCCGTCGCTTCGGCAAAGTCCTCGCTCTCAAGGAGGATGCATGCCAGGCCACCATTTGCGCATGGCATGGACTTCCCGGCTGAACAAGTGGGGTGCAAATCGACATTAGCCACGAAGAGCTCCGAACCGTCCGAATTACAGCTTCGAAGGGCTCAAGCAGTACCAGCAACCCTTAGTAAGAGAGAAGGCAGCTCCAAGCACTTTACTGGTAGCAGAGCTGAGTCGCCCAGGAGGTGTGGTTCTCGGTGTCGAGCAGGTCGGGAGAGCACTCGACGCTTTTTGTCTAATTAACAGTGTGTTGAGCTGCATTCCCAGACCGCTCTTGGCCGCGAGGCGCGGGCCTCGAAATATCCAAAGCTTTCCCAAACCCACTTTCGCCACGGAGGGATCTTGCACAGGGTTAAACTGAGCTGCTGTGCTGATTCTTCAGTTGCTGGATACATCAAGGGTAGTGCGGTTCTGCTTGCACTACCAGCTACCGCCCCCAGGACGACACCCTATGTTACATGTCTATGCACTTGGTGTTGGTCCACTCTTGCTTCGAACGAATTTCTCTGCATTGGCGACATTGTCAGCTGAGCTGGTGGGAAAAAGTTTGTACGAGTAGAGTCCAGTGGACAGGGGTTGGTTTGTCTTGGCGCCATGACATCGCAAAATCATGGCCGGGGGGGGCACCTGCCCAGGTCGAGTTCCGCTTCGACATCTCCAGCAAGGGAAGCAAAACCAAGGCTCAAAACTGATTCGCAGGGCACAGCGTCGCAGGGCTCCCAGCAGCAGGTCGTTGAAAGAGGGCAGGTGTCGGCACCCCAGCTTTGACGACATCAAACATAGTGGGAGATGGGTTTTTGTTGCTGCGATCTTTTTGTCGGAGGCGCTTCGTGCTTGGTGCGGCCGACCTGAAGGACGGCTGGGCCTTGGCCTTAATGTCAATGTGATGTGTATGTGGCAAAACGGAAGAATTCACTTTGCATCAGAGGTGGATGGGCACGTGAACCTGGAAGAAGTCCTGTCTGCATGGGCGCCGGCCATGCTCGGCATGCGCGCGAGGGCCCAGAGGGCCAGCCGAGTGGACATGGCCGTGGCCGCTGTGGGCTCAAGCTTCGCCAGTCGCCGAGGTGCCGGCCAGCGGCGACGCGTGCTGGTGCCCGGCCGTCTTGGATTCCGTGATGGGGGCGAGGCGTGCCCCAGCTCTCGCCGGACGAAGCAGCCAAGTTTCAGCTGTTTCAGGTTCTAGCCGCAAATGCCGACCTGTCTGTTGACATCGAGCTGAAGCAGCTGGGCTAGCTCGTGGTGCCCAAAAAACTTCTTCCTTGGCCTCCAATGCTTTCGAGTAAGCAAAAGTAACACTCAGACCCCTGCCAGCCTGCCGGGCCTAGATTCGGCTCTGAAGACGACACTCTGGCCGTGGAAGATCAAAGCTCAGCCTCCTGAAGTGGGTCTGTTAGCCAGGCGGTTGTGCAAGCTACTAGTTCAGCCATGATCACTTCAAGTGGAAATCCCAGAAGCGGCATCGCGGTGCCTGCCATGGCGGATGCAAAGGCCAAGGCGGCCAATGCCTCTGCTCTGCATGTCTCCGTGCGTTCTCCGGCGTTGTCGCACACATGGTCAGGGGAAGGGCAAAAGAAGCGGCCATGGCGACGAGCACAAAGATGACCCAGCAGAGAGGACTCCGAAGTGATTGAGGGGTTAGGTCGATTAAGTCAGGCAAGGTAGCAGAAAGTAAGGTGACATACTTAGAGAGTATGAATCCTTTTTCTGAGGCCTTCGGCCGAAGTCTTGACAGCGCAGCTTTGCAAGGCGAGGCTACGGAGACGTGCACCTTTGTCGCATGACCATCTTTTCGCCAGGCAATCCATGGCGGCGCCAGCGCAGAAGCCGAAGACCTCTTCAGCCAGACGTAGTGAGCATCAGTTTTCATTGGCCTCACTTCTCAAGTCCGGCAGAGGTCGACTGGACAGCGAGCTCCGTCGTCAGGAGCGGATATGGGCAGAGATCTGCCAAGGACTCTGTGTGCTTCGAGGACTCCGTGCGCCTGCAGAACTACGTGTCGGAGCTGGAAGCGGCTGCTGTGGCCGTCCGATCCTGAGCGTAGCGGCGTAGAGCTTTACCAAACTGCACGGGGGGATTCGCCAAGTATCGACGTATCGCGGTGCGACACACAAGGAGTATCGGAAAGCTTCAAACCTACCGAGGCATTGCCTGATGACTCTGACAGCTCCGGGGACGAAGGCGCAAGCAGAAAACCATCCTGAAAGCGATGCTGCGCACGCCGCACGCTAGAAGGCGTTGCAAGCCCACAGTGCAGAAAACAAGGCAAATGCTCGCAGCTGGAGGCGATTTTGCTCTAATACCCCTACAAAGCACCAAGCCTCCCCCTCCCCCCCTGCACCCCCAAGCACCGCGAGAGCGCTCCACGGCGCTCCTGCCAGGCATGTGCAGTGTGGGTTGCCCGCAAAGGGTTTGTGATAAAACGTTCAAGCTATGCTTGCTAACTCCTCGCCCAGAGCCCGAAGTCGCGGCTCGACTGTTCGGAGTCTAGGGACAGAGGGACAGAGGATGCATCAGATGCATCAGAGAGGCCTTTTTCCGTTGTCGGAAGCCCAGGCCCTAGCTGCCCTAGCTTTACCTAGGTAGAGAGAAAGAGAATCCCTTTTCAGCTCCGAGTCCGAGTGGATGGCCATGGCCATGGCCCGGAGCCTTGCTTTAGCTGCGCTCCTCCACTGCCTTCTGGGATGCCAGAGCCTGGTGCTGGGAGTCCTCGGCCCTTGGGTGGAATTGGCTGATTTGCTGTTGGCTGCGATGTGTGCAGATTTGGACTTCCGAAAGAACTTCGACTCCACTTTGCAGGCTAGGCTAGGGGATCCAATCGTTGGCATTCCGCAGATCCACCCCCAAATGGCTAACGTCTCCTTCCGTTTCGGTGCTACAATGGGAAAAGCAGATGTCGGACTCGCTACAGCTCTTGACATGGTCCTCGGCTTGGATGGGGAAGAGCCTATCGTCGGGTTGATCGGCCCTGCCATCTCGTCCGTCGCGCTGCCCATGGCAACAACGGCGGCCGTGCAGCAGATTCCACAGATTTCTTTCTCCGCAACTAGCCCCCTCCTTTCGAACAAAGACGCATATCCCTACTTCCTGAGAACTGTGCCTCCGGACACTGTTCAAGCGATCGTGCTTTGGAACTGGATCCTCGAGTTCGATGTGCCGCTTGCAATTTGTTTATATACCGAAGAGGCCTATGGCCAATCGCTATTCAAAGCTCTCGGTGCACAGGCCCAAAGTGCTTCCGGCAGGCTACGGCTGGTAGGCCAGGCTGTACGCTACATGCCGCCCGATGCCTTTCAAGAAGAGGAGGCTCGAAGGTCTTTGGAGCAGACGAAGAGCCTTGGCTCTCACTTCCTGGTGCTCTTGATCGAGTTCAGCATGGTTCCACGACTGATGCCGGTAATGGCCCAGGAGGGACTTCTGGCTTCAGATTGGCAAGCAATCGGCTCAGATACCCTGGCCTGGCCTACTGCGCACGCCTTCCTGCCCCTGGGCTTTATGATGGTGGTCGCCCGGGGACAAGGCTCCAAGTTCTCCGAATTCAGAGATCTTTGGTCGACACTGGGTTATTCAGACCTTCTGGGAAGCGACGCTCAAGCCAGGCACCTCGGCAAAAGTCCCATAAAATCCCCGCGCCTTGCTAAGAGAACAAAATGGCTGCCGTTGCTAACAGGTACGGCATTGGCAGGATGAGAACACCTTTGGCCGAAGTCTCCAACGCGACATTATCCGCCGCCGTGCAGTCATACCATGCGTTTGCTTTCGATGCTGCGTATTCCTTCATCATTGCCATCAACCAGATGCTCCTCAGAGGGGTTGCAGAGCATGCCGTCAGGGGCCAGGCGCTTCTCGAGGAGCTGAGAGGCATGAACTTCAGTGGTGTTTCAGGTGACGTGCGCTTCGATTCCAACGGGGATCGTCTAGCATCATACGAGCTTCTGAACATGCAGGGGGACGCGCTCGCGCCTGTGGCATCCTCTGTAGCCATCTTCAGCACATCTGCGCTCGAGTTCTCTTTTCGGAGTCGAAGCGGGCTAGTATGGATGAATGGTCTTCCAGGTGCAAATCCACCAGAAGACTTGCTAGCTTGCGATGCTGGTTTTTTCAAAGAGGAGCTGTCGCGTCAATGCCGACCCTGCCCCAGAGGTACGATGTGTCCGGGTGGAGTTGATGCCCAGTTTCGGGCCTGTCCGAAAGGAACTTTCACAAACGAGACAGGAATGACCTCTTGCTTGTTGTGCTTGGAGGGCTTTGCTGCTCGTGAAGTTGGCTCGGTCCAGTGTACGGAGTGCCAGCCAGGCTACGAAGCTCCGATGCAGGGCATGGAGGCTTGCACGCGCTGTGAGCTGGGCAGCTACATGCCTTCTGTACAGGGCACCCGATGCGTGCCCTGCGGACTGAACCAGACCACACTTTTCCGCGGGGCCGAGGCTGCATCGGAATGCGTTTGCCCGGAAGGCTTATTCATGTGCGAGGCTCGTGGATGCATCCCGTGTCCTGAGGGACTCTACTGCCCCACTGGCCTGGGGACACCCCATCAAGTAGGTGGCTTCTGGACAGAGAGTTCAGGGCCTGGCCAGTGCGACTTCAGTGTCCTCCGCTGCCGAGATCAAGCAGAATGCCCGCCGGGGCCGCTTGGCGTGTGTGCATCCGGCAGGGAAGGACTTGCATGCAATAACTGCAACGAGAACCACTTTCCTGGCGACGATGGGACGTGTCAAGCATGTGCAGATGCCGATGTGCTTCCTACAATCTTGGTTCTACTGCTGGCGTTGAGTCTGTTGCTCGTTCTCGTTTGCACGCATGTCGACCCGAATCAACAAAGCCCCACCGCGGCAGAAAGGAATCAGTTTTCTTTTACTCCAAATCTAGACAGGGAGGTGGTGGGCCCCGAACCCTTTCTTTTCGAGTTCTGAGCCTAAGGTCTCAATGTTCTCACGGCAGCTGCGATTTTCAGTCAGATCATTATTTCCATTCAAGCTTTGGGATCCATCCGGAAGCTTGCCATCGCGTGGCAAGAACCAGCCAAGACCATCGTGGAGTTAACGAGACTCCTTACCTTCGATTTCGACATCATCAGAATCTCATGCTTCCTTGGTACTGACAGTCCTTCACTGAAGTTCTTGAGTAAAATCCTAGTATGCCCCTTCGGATGCGCGGTGCTTCTGGCGACCTGGTTGGGAATGAAGTTATGTGGCCGGCACCGACCGCCGGATAGCATCTTACTCTGCATACTCTGGACTAGTTTTTGCCGAATATTCCAGGGTCCATGGTAGCAGCGGCTGAGGCTGCTAGGTTTCTCTCTGCTCAATCTTGTCGGAACTGAGGCGTCGTGAACATGTGCGGGTTGCTGTTCTTCGCATTCTTCCTCTCCATCGCTTTGACAAGCTTGATTCCTTTTCGATGCGCTCGGAATCCCGACGGAAGCACTTCGATGGTTTCAGACCCAGGCATCATATGCTATGAGTCCGAAGAACATGCGGTCCTGGTGGCCTTGGCGGTGGCAGGCATTCTAAGTCAGCCAGCGGTGATTTTAGCATGGACGTCCCACGCCACTTTCATGTATCCATCACGTGTAGCCAGTGGGAGCGGCTTACGACAAGTGCACCGACATCGCTTCCTCTTCCATCGCTTCAAGCCTGAGAGCTTCTATTTTGGCTTGGTCTTATTGTACCGGAACGGAATTGTGGCAGTACTCCCCGTGCTTTCTGTTGGCATTGTGGAGCTGCAGGTACCGGTCATGGGGACCATCCTTCTCGCCAGCCTTGCACTGCAAGTGAGGACCTACCCCTGGCGGACGGTGCAAGCAAATGTGCGGACCCGATTCGTCCAACTCACCTTCATGTATACCTACACAGCGGCATGAACCATGGAATCATAATCAAGAAGCCATTATGTAGGCCGAATAAGTCGTCTCATTGACCTACGGGATCAACTGACCCGCACCGTCCCGGCGAGTCGCTTTGTGCCTCACGCCGATCACACGTTACACGTAGTGCCGACAGGCGGAAAGGTTTTCTTGAGACTCTTACAGACTTACAGGGACTGCACGTGCGCTCCGAGGACTTAGCTGAACTGGGGTAGGAACTTGGGTTTCTGGATGCATCGCGCTTTGATTGTGCTCGCAGGTTTCTGATTCTAGTCCTCAGACCTGCAAGAAATCAGAAGGCTGGTTCTAGACTGCCCAAGGTCGTTGACATGCTGTTGACGGTGCTCTTGCTGGTGATCTTGCTGGGGGCTGCGCCTTTGTTGAGCATCGACTTCCAGAATTCCTCTCAGGTCCTGGGGTGGCTCCTTTGTGTCCCAATCTTCGGTTTGCTTCTCGTTGGACTGGCCGGTCTTTCCAGGGTGGCGCTCCGCCACTTTTACCCAGCCGCTCAGTACGGGGTTTTCTTGTGTCACCACAAGGGCGGCGCAGGCAGCCTTTGCCGACTCCTGAAGCTCATTATTGCCAGACACACTTCCACTCGTGTGTTTTTGGATTGCGACCAGTTAGAGAATCTAGATTTCCTCTTCGACATCATTCGGACGTCAACGAACAGTGTTGCGGCGGTGCTGACGCCGGAACTGCTGCGCAGGGCGCCTTGGCTGATGGCCACTGGCTTCTTGGGACAGTGGCATTTTTTATTTTGAGATGTTGAAGTCGGCTTCAACCGTCAGCTAAGGTTTGGTGTGGTGGAGAAATAACAACTGCGTGGAAAAATAAGATCACCACGGTGCCGCTCGTTTGTGATGGCTTCCTGCCGCTTTCAGATGAGGCACAGAAGTTGATTCCCACTCTGTGGACACCTCAACAGAAGCAAATCCTTGCCAACTACGGCGTGGAGATTGAAGACGTGCACGCAGCGTACGCCTGGTTACAGAACGATTTAACCAGCATCCAGATGCCTCGATTTGGGCCAGTGCAGTGCTTAGCTTGGGTTCTCTGTTGTTGTCAGCTGAGGCATTCTCGCTATCACATTTTGTACTGGTTGATTGAAGCTGACAAGCTTAAAGGATCTTAAAGGCTAGACGACCCAGCATAAGACTCCAGAAGGCAAGAACAGACAGTTTTCTTGCAAGCATTGCCTGCAAGCTAGGATGCAGGAAGGGTTTGAGCAAAGCTTCCGAGTCTGCGTCAAGAGCGCCGGACCCCTGCCATCAGCCACAACCGTTCTCGTCGTCTGTCGACGAGGGGTTGCTGGCCACCGAGAAAGTTCTACTTTCACATGAGTCAAAAACCGGTGAGAGCATCAGAGGATACAGCATAGAAGCACCGAGCGAGGTTGCCTTTGTCGGTGCTTGTGCTCGCAGCAAGTTGCACCCGAGGTGAGCAGACGTGAGGAAGCAGTTCTGGAAATGCTGGCACGCTGCGGTTTGTATGCTTTGCAAATGCCATCGGCAAGGTTGCGTCGAATCACCTCGACGCCTGTCCTACATAATACAGACGCTGCAAGGGCTCGAATTCTCATCACAAGCTCTGTGGCTGATGCCGAATGCCTCTCTGCATGCGAAGTCTTCCAGATCATGCTTCAGGAGAGAGGGTGCAGTGCACGTTACAGACCCGCATGCTGACAGCTGGTGCTACTTGTACTTGTAGTGATGCTAACGCTGCGCATGACGTGTAAGCGGGTTACTGGACTGAGTTGAGTGAGTTGTTTGCAGGCCTATTTGCAAGTGGAGTGTGCAGTCGTCCACGGCTCCCGGCAGATGATTCATTGGAGCCTTGCCTCATCTAGCAAGATTTGGGGGAGAGAAACCAAGCCTCATCTTTGCCAGCTAAGAGGGATGAAGTGAGCATTGAATCGGAAGACATACAGTATGTAGCCGACATGGTGATGTGGCCCTCTGGGACTACAGTTGTAGCATGTCGAAGGTTTTTAACCGGAGTCTGATCATCGCTTGAGCTAGACTCAGCTAGACTCCTAGACCTTCAGGAAGCCCTACGCATATTACCTGGTGGTTTTGCTCTTTCGCGGCATTTTCCGGGATGCCGGCTTCCAGCGGATCTTGACTGCAGCCTTCGCGGCTCCAGGGCGCCGCCTGGAGCTGGTCACGGTGCTGGCGGACTCGCACTTTGACTTCCCGTCGCTCGAGGACTCCGTCGACGGCTCCGGCGATCTGAAAACCGTTCGAAGAACCCTCACCGAAGAGACTTCTAGCCCGTCCCAGCAGCTGGCTGAAGTTCACTCGGCAGCACATACTGTAGCCCTCGGTTACACTTTGTCTCCAGAATAGAACCGACAGCCCAAAGGCCCAAACCACGACTCGTTGGATCTCGGCAAGTTTTATCGAGGCACAGCGCGAGCTGCTCACGGTATTGGCTTTGCCCTTCTCGCCTTTGGCATCCGAGGGCCTTCAGCACAAGCAAGTCGCAGAGGTTGCTCACCGCATGCATAGGTACGAGGACATCCAAGTCAAACGTTCCCGGAAAAAGGCCCCGCGGCGTCCCAGGCCTACTTGGCCCCAAGAAAGCCCTACCGATAGCTATCGGGCCCTGCTATGCAGGAGCCGGCCAAGGCGGCCAGTCTCGACGAGGCAGATGATGCGAGACTGGCGGAGGTAGATATGGGCGCAAAGAACTCCGACACGCTTGCCTGGGATGCGGGGAATGCGGGGGAGGGGGAACTTGGAGGGGATTTAGGGGACCCAGAAGGTGTCACCGAGGTGCATGCGGACCTGTCGCTGAGAAGCGACTCATTGTCCATTTGACCCCGAGATACGGGCAGGCCATAGTCAGAGTCATAGTCATAGTGTGCCATCTCTGAGCAATGGCCATTCCGCCAAAAGGCAACTAGGCCTTAAGCCTTAAGATGGAGCACTCGTGATGTTCATGTAGCATTGTAGCATGCCAGGCTTACCCTTGCTCAGCCTGCACTTGGCCCCAGGGGCACTTGACGAAGTCAAGGCGTCACGGCACGTCCGAGCTGGCACGTGACCAGAGTTTTAGTCCTTTGCGAGCAAAGCGAGGGCAGCGAGAAAACGGCAGCAGCCGCCACTAAGCCCCTAGTGGGGTTTAGGGAGCGGAAGGGAGACGCGAGCGAGACTGCAGCCTTGAGAGTCCCGTGCCTCCACAGCACAGAGTATAAGATCACGTCGTTTCAATGGTTCACGAATGCTCAAGATCACTGCGAGGACAGCGATTTAGGGGACGTAGCCTTGCTGCTGATGCCTCCTTGCAGGCGGGTCGCTGTGGTTCTGCCCTCTCTCTTTCGGCAGAATGCGGGCACTGGTAGAGCTAGCCCAGCCCAAAGTACCTAGATACTCAGCCATTTTTGTTCTCTTGCTCGTGTCTGTGTCTTTGGAGGTGATGTCTCGAGTGTGGGCTCTTGCTCTTTGTGCTCTGCGACTCTGCAGATCTGAGTTGTCTTTGGGAGCTTTGGGCGCCTGGACGGCCTACGAGCCTGACCTACTCGTAGCCATCGTCGCCGCCCATTTGGACTTCCAGAAGAACTGGAATGCCTCTGTCGCATCTCGCTTTGGCCCGCCGATTCTGGAAGTTCCCTTTCCCGGAGTGCATCCCGACGCAAGGAAGATAGGGCTTCGCATCGGGACAACACACGCCAGGCAAGACATAGGTGTGGCCACAGCCTTGGACATGATGTTGGGCCTGGATGGTGAGCAAGCTGTTAGCGGACTCATCGGAGCGAGCTTGTCTTCAGTCAGCATGCCAATTGCCACCATGGCTGCCGTTCAGCAAGTACCTCAGGTGTCCTTCTCAGCGACGAGCTTTGCTTTGTCCAACAAGGACTCCTACCCCTACTTCTTGCGAACAGCCCCACCTGACAACATCCAGGCTCTGGCCATCTGGAGATGGATTTTGCAGTTTCAGGTGGTGCTGGCGACTTGCCTCTACACCACGGAGAGCTACGGCCAAGGTCTGTACACCTTCCTGACAGAGCTGGCGCAGGCCGACGATGAAAAACACCGAGTGCAGGGCCAAGGCCTCAAAGATCTCTTTGAAGAGCAGGAGGCCCGGAGGGTGGTACGAATAGCTCGGCGCATGGGCTCCCGCTTCATCATCTTGATGCTGACCCAGTCCATGGCCGCGGGAGTCATTCCTATTCTCGGAGAGGAGGGTATGTTGAGTGCGAACTGGCAGATCCTCGGTGCAGACACGATGGCATCCTCCAGGATAACTGGACTTCTGCCTGTTGGCTTTATGTTCTTCTTGTCAGATGGACGAGGCGAACGATTTCCTGACTTCAAGCGGCTCTGGGACATGCTTGAACCGGAGGATATTTTGGGTGCAGAGAGCCAGGCGACATACAGGTTCCTCGGCCAGAGTCCCAGGGTTTCTCGCTCGGTGCCAAGTCTGGTGATAATTCGCAAAACGGTAAGAGAACTCTTCCTAAACGGTTCTAGCCAGTTGGCACCCACTACGTGGTTTTCATGGCATGGGGCTGTAGCTCACGATGAAGCTTGGGATAACGTGAAAAGCCTTGCTTCTCGCTGTGTGGCTGCGTAGAACTGGATGTCCAAGCTTCCGCCTGCGTCTAAGCTTTTCAAGACGAGGCTGGACAAGATGAGAGAGCCATTGGCAAATGGATCTGTCGAGAGGGTGCTCTCGGATCTGTCAGACCTTTCAGCTTATGCAGCCTTTGCCTTCGATGCAGTCTACACCTTCATCATCGCCATCAATCGGCTCTTGCATGCTGGAGTGGCAGCTGATGCCATTCGGGGCCAAGTACTTCTTCAGGAAATGCGCAGGACGAGCTTCACAGGAGTCTCCGGTGAGGCCCGGTCCATAGAGCCGAAGGGTAGCTCCAACTAGAGCGAGCTAGCGGCTAAGGCAGCAAGGGCTATGTCTTGCCGTGAGCTTTGACTCAGGTGAGCTTCGACGAGAATGGCGACCGCTTGTGCGCATACCAGCTCTGGAACATGAAAGCAACCCAAACTCCTCAAGGGCAATCTGCCGTTGAGGCTGCAGTCGCAGCGTCCTTCAGCGCTTCGACCTTGAACTTTTCTTTCATTGATGGGCTGGTGTGGATGGATGGATCCCAAGCGTCGCAGCCTCCGCCGGAGCTCTATTCCTGTGACCCCGGTTTCTACAAGGACATATCCTCGACTCAATGCATGGAATGTCCAAGGGGTCAAATTTGCCTTGGGGGGCCTCAGGCTCCCTCTCTTGCATGTCCAAGGGGAACCTTCGCAAACAGCACAGGTCTCACGGCTTGCCTTCCCTGTCCCAGGGGTACTGCTGCCCGTGACGTGGGCTCGGTCGAATGCACTCCGTGCCAGCCAGGCTTCGAGGCGCCAAGAGAAGGAATGGAAGCATGCACGCGCTGTGAGCCTGGCAGCTACATGCCCTCGGAAAAGGGCGCCCGATGCATGCCCTGTGGACAGAACCAGATCACGCTGTACAGTGGTGCAGTTGAGGAGGACGAATGCCTCTGTCCCGAAGGTTCCTTCATGTGCCAGAGTCGTGGCTGCACACCGTGCGTTGAGGGACTCGACTGCCCAGTTGGCTCGGAAATCCCTCAGCAACGGGGTGGCTTCTGGACGGAGTTTTCCGGCGCTGGCCAGTGTGACTTTGTGGTGCTCCGCTGCCGAGATCAGAAAGAATGCCCAGCGGGGCCACTTGGCCTTTGCGCGCCCGGCAGGGAGGGACTGGCCTGCAACAACTGCAAGGAAAAGTATTTCCCAACAGAAGGCGGCTGTGAGCCTTGTGGCGAGGTAGACATCCTTCCCACTCTCCTCTTCCTGATGGTGGTGCTTGTTGGGCTGTTCCTTCTCAGCATCTCCAGCTTGGAGCCAAACCAAGTGAGCAGCCAGGCCGAAGCATGTCCAAGCCTTTGCCGCCTTTGTCTTTAGTGCATCTCCCCTCCCGTGACATTGTTGCGGTTCTTGGCACATCCGGCGTGTCTTGCTTTTGCGGGCATCCTCTCCGGATCCTGCTCCCTTCTCGCCAAGATGCCCCGAACGTCAGATCATGCCCCCACCCCCCCCCCCCCCAAGTTGCCAAGGCCTGAACACGCTGACAGCCTTTGCCGTCACGAGTTCTGGTCTCAGTCGACAAGCCGGAAGCACACGCACCATTGCAGCATATGCACGGAATCGGCATCTGACCTGCTTAAGGTCAGCTGGTGATGGCAGTTCAATCTTTGAGTTCCATCCGTGAGTTAGCATTGGAGTGGCAGGAGCCGGTAAAGACTCTTGTTGACCTTTCAAGGGTCTTCGCCTTTGATTTGCACATCATACGCATCACGTGCTTCTATGGAACAGATACTCCTGCTCTGCATTTCATTAGTCAAATGCTTGCCTGTCCAGCTGCATGTGGTGCTTCTCGGCGACCCAGTCGGAACATTTTCTTTTCTGGCAGGATGTCTTTCCGTTTTCCGTATGCTAGCGACAATCAGTCACACACAGAAAGTCAACCCAATTTAGGTTCTGTTGTGCAGCTGGGTGGTGTCAAAGCTATGTGGGCGTCCCAAGCCGATGGACACCATCCTGAACCATTGTGGGTTGCTCTTCTTTGCATTTTTCTTGTCCATCACCCTGACTATAATTATGCCTTTTCAGTGCGTGCCAAATCCAGACGGCCGGCTTTCCATGTCAAACGACCCTGGAATTGTTTGCTACGAGTCCGACGAGCACTCTGTGCTTGTTGCATTGGCCGTGATTGGAAGCTTGGACTCTGGCAACCCTAATTGTGTTTCAGTGGCTAGGACTAGTGTGACTGGGAAGCGTTGCTTGTTGGCTGCCAAGGATTTCTGTCGCAGCCTGCTGCTGTGTTGGCATGGGCCACTTTCGCCATCATAATGTACCCGCGGCGTGTGGCTACAGGGAGAGGCCTTCGCATGGTGAACAAGCACCGATTCCTCTTCCACCGCTTCAAGCCAGCAAATTATTACTTTGGCCTTGTCCTTCTCTATCGCAACGGCCTGGTCGCCCTTCTGCCTGTTGCTTGCACAAACGGACAAGCATTCTGTTAGCCTCTTTTGTGTTTCATCATTGCCATCTCTGACTAGTGACTTGTAGCTAGTACTTTCGCCAAGGTTATACTCGTCGGAGTTCCATCGCTCCAGGTTCCGCTTATGGGTGCAGTCTTGCTTGCAAGCACAGCAATTCAGGCACACTTGTGTCCGTGGCGCACTGCAAGAGCGAATCTGGTTGATTTCCTTTTGACTTCCTTTCTTCTGGTGACTCTATTGGGTGCCGCTCCGCTCTTGCAGACAAGCGATAAAGACGCTCTTGTTGTGCTCAGCTGGCTGCTTTGCATCCCTGTGCTTGGAATCCTAGTCGTGGCTTTGAGTGCACTTGCACGGACAGCCATGATGCACTTCCAGAAGAGGCTCCTGTTTGGCATTTTCCTGTGCCACCACAAAGGTGGCGCGGGAAGCTTGTGCCGACTGATGAAGATCTTAATTGCCCGGCACACTTCCACGCGTGTGTTTTTGGATTGCGACCAGTTGGAGAATTTGGATTTCCTCTTCGACATCATTCGAACTTCAACGAAAAGTGTCGTGGTCGTGTTGACACCGGAGTTGCTTCGCCGGGTTTGGTGTGGTGGAGAAATCACGACCGCGTGGATGAACAAGATCACCACGGTGCCGCTCATTTGCGATGGCTTCCGGCCGCTCTCAGATGAGGCACAGAAGATGATTCCAAGTCTGTGGACGCCTCAGCAGAAGCAAATCCTTGCCAACTACGGCGTGGAGATCGATGCCGTGCATGCGGCCTATGATTGGTTGCAGCATGAGTTGATTCCTCTGGAGATGCCCCGGTTTGGTCCAGCTCTTCGAAAGCAGGTAACATGCGGGCGCGCAAATGGAGAGGCAACAAGTTTCGAGTGTGAAACGTAGGGCCAAAAAGACTTTCTTGAGGGCTTTTGGGGCTGAGGTCACCAGCCGCGAGACTGCGGTTGTCGACATGCTGCGATTGTGTGGCCTGGCACCTGCCCTCAGATCTACGCAACTGACGCAACTCAATATCTTGTCCTCGTCCTCTTCACAAGCCTTCCCTTCAATCCCTGCAAGAGCCCGGATTTTAGTTACAAGCTCCGTGACGGATGCAGAGTGCTTGTCTGCTTGTGAAGTTTTCACGCTGGTGCTGATGGCTCACCTGCACGTGGAATGCGCCGTGGTGCACAACGCACGGCACATGTCCAACTGGCAGCCTGGCTGGAAAGCTTTTACGGGCCCTCCCTGTAACACTCTTTAGGATCAGGCAGACAGCCTCAAGCCGGATCGAAGGGATGCCTACGTCATCCCAACTGGAATAAGCTACCATTCGAGGAGTTGCTTCGAAGGGAACCACTGCGTAAGGTCTTGTGAATGCATTCTGCGAACAGCGAGACAGGGCGAGAGCTCAAAGAACGTCAAAGCCAAACAAAGAGCCAGAGACGTCTCAGCGTCGACTGAGCCTTGTTTCGCCGGGGGAAGTTGCAGGTTCACTTAAGCACAGCGGTAGCACTGGATACGAAAATCCCTGGGTAGCCGGGCTAGTCTGGGTTTCTTATTGAAGCCACTTGTCAATGTGAAGGTCCGAGTATAGGGCGAGTCAGGGTAGTCTAGCGCATCGCGGAAGTGCACAGCCTTTCCGCGCCAACTCCCCAAGTCACACTTGAACCGGAGACGGACAGCGAAAGAGCGCGAGATAAATAGTGGACTGCCGACACCTCAAGCCTTGAACAAAGAAATAGCAACACTTTCGGAAAGAGAGTAAGAGACAGCCCCCAACAGCGAAGCCTCTTGGTACAGCCCGGCCCATCCCTCAAAATGATGGATGAGGCGGCGTGACAGCGTGGATCGCGAAGACTGCTCGCAGCCCAAGCCCCCAGCAAAGCAAAGCAAAGCCAAGAAACGAGCCATGACTCAGGTGAGTTCCTGCACGGTCCGCATGCACTTTAGAACCCCTGGCAAGGCAAAGAGCGACAGAGGGTTTTGACGAAAAGCAAGAAGGGTGTGCTAGAGGTCGTGTTGTTGCCCTGACATCAGCCCGCGCAGCTGTGTTCGCGGCGCAGTTGTTGTCTACAAGCTGAGTCGTGTTCGCCCACGCGCGGCTCCCCCTAGTCAAAGACTTATGCGTGCGACACACAGGCGCAGGCAACCAGAAGACAGCAAAGTCTCCCACCGTTGATGTTGAAGAAGCGACCAGGTCAACAGGGAATCGGCTTGGAAGTAGGAAGGGTCAATCGCGACATGGATGCAAGAACGGCGGACGCCGCCGTGCAAGAATCAACGCCGGAAACTTTTGTTTGATTGTTCCAGCTGTCAGCCACAGTCCAGGAAACCCTTTGCCTACTACTTGGTCGTATTGCTTTTTCGCGGAATTTTTCGCGACCAGACCTTTGCCAAGATCTTGCTGAGCGCCGATTCCCCTTCGCAGAGCGGTCGGAGCTTGGAGCTGGTGTCTGTGATTGCTGACACACACTTCGACTTTCCGAGCATTGAAAGCTTGGAGATGGCGACTGAGGAGGAGTACGTTGGAGGCGTACTCAGCGACCCAGCCACCACTCTTCCCAGAAACCTCTTCAGCGCTCCTTCTCTTCACGATGTGAGACTCTCCTCGTGTAATCTCGTGTATGTTTGTCTTTCCATGTGCTCGCGCAGCTCGCGCAGCTCAGGTTTACCGCGACTTGCTGAACGTCCTGGCCTTGCCCTTCTCCCCGCTGGCTTCAGAAGGGCTTCAACAGAGGCAAGTTGCGGAGATTGCCGGGCGCCTGCACCGCTACAAGGACAGGCTCGAAAACAGCGAGCTTGGGGCCAGAGATTTCCAGACCTCGTCTGACTAGGTGTGCGATTTCGTTGAGAGATTTTTCTTCTGCGCAGGATGCGGCGGCAGCAGCGAGCAAAGACGAAGCAGATGATGGCATGATCGAAAACGAAATGCACGAGCTCAGTTCGCACAACGCCTCGATGGACCTTCAGGATTTCCGGGGCTTTGTTCCCCAGGCACCTGGGCGCCTCCAATCAACGAGTCACCCTAGCCAGTGCTGTTTCACTCTAGTCTTGCCAAAAACCACCCCTTTCCAGTACCTCGCGGCAGGCGTTTAGCCTCCTTAGCGACGACGGCTTCGACCTTCGCAGTGAGACATTCTCCATGTGAGTGGACCCTGGCTCTACTTATGATCCGTTTAAGAACGGCCAGAATGCCGTGGTCTTTTGGCGACATACGTTAATGTCATCAACCGAGCTGAAGACTTCGGAGAAGTCTCGCCTGGTAGCCACCGCCACGTGAATAGCCTCAGGGCTAAGCCCTCACAGGCTTGAAGCATGTGCTGCAGCAAACCGGTGACCGTTGCACAGCGGATGTTCTGAAATTGCCGGCTGGACGGCATCCGAACGGTCGAGCAAGACAACAGCCGTGAAAGTACTGCTTTCCCTTCGAGCGCCTCTTATCCGCAGAGGAAACAGCGGCTGACCAAGTGAGAGTGTAGATTCGTGTAAATCAAATCTGCACAGCTCGGGAGATTTTGTTGGAGTAGTGGTGGCGTTCGGACGTTAGTTGCTGAAGATGTTGGTGGTTCTTGTGTTTGCGCACGCATGGCCCGCTTGCACTTCGAGCAACAAGCCTCTTTAGAGGGTTGCTCAAGTGATAGCTCATTTATTCGCGCCCCATGTACTTTTGGAGCTAGTAAAGCCGTAGGCAGACTCGGGACCACAACACGCGCACGCAAGCGCCTAAGCTGGGATGCAAACAACGGAAATAACACAACGAGCACCCGTGGTGAAAGGAAAAAGCACAGCCCGCCTTCGACGCCCGCGAGTCGTAGGCAGAGTCGATTATTCACTTGCGCACCCTGATACGCATGTGTTGTCACCTGCCTGGACATCCGCTATGACCGGCAGCACCAACGAATGACAAGCAGCATCCTGCAAGAAGGATTTTCAAGGGATCTGGCCTTTAGTACTGGACCAACCTTGGTGCTCTAGCTCTTGGCGAGCTTGGTTTAGATCTTCCCTACTACGCCAGTCCGCTAGCTGGTTGCGGTATGTCCGGATGTAAATCGGATGGACAGAGGAATTCTTCTCGATCTCTAACCTCTGGACAAGGCGCAAGGCGCACCAGCAGACTAGCGACTCGGTTCCGGGGCCTTCTCCTGTAAAGCCAGGAGCGCATATTGGCAGTGTCGGTCACATAGAAGACCAGATCAACATCCCAATGGCCACAGGCTAGCACCACGAATACTAGAAGCTCCATGATGGATATAATCTCCAATTCATGTCCTGCTTCAGCCATACCTTGCAGGGCCTCTGTATACCTTCCGGTCTCCGAGGCATGGAAGACTCGGTCCTTCCAATTCCGATGATCCGCGTTCTGGCAGAAACACCTGGGAGGGCTAGGCACTCCCTTAAAGGTAACAGCTTCTCAAAAGTGGCCGTAAAGCTGGTGGTGAGGGGGGACTCCAGTTGCAACCGCACGAAGCCACGGGCATTCCAAAGTCCTCCCATCGGCGGAGCGCCTCGTCTTCTCAAGCAGCTTCAATTTGCAGCAATGTGTCTTGCTTGCGTCCTTTGGAGGCCTTCCCGGCACCTTGCAGGTTAGTTACCCTCAAGGAGAAAATAGAGGGATGGCAAGTGCGGGACAATCTCCGGGCACACCGCTGACGACCAGTACTGCGCACATCCAATCACCTCCTGCAGCAAACCGAGGGGGAGCTGCTTGTTGCCTCTGGCTAGAGCGGGCTTGTTGACGAGGCACTTGGCTTTGATCCGATTGGGCTCTGGAAGCGTAACGGTCAGGGTATCGAAGTTCATATGGAGACCCCAAAAGTTCGCCTTCCTCTGTCATCTTCTCCATATTGACCCCTTCAGGCCCCCACACCAGTCGCATGGTGTGATTGCTGAATGCGTGTTCCTACCATTGGTTCAACAACCACCCCATCATCCATGAGCCACTTCGACTCGAACGGGACTACGTCATCGAACTCAGGGCAGCAGGGGCGGAACGACCCATGGTGACCTTTGGCCGCGGCACTCCAGGCTATAAATTCCCCAGGAAACCCGGCAAAACTCGGGTACATCGCGGGGTTTTGGAAAATGCCAGTTGAAAGCCAAGGGACCTTCCTCTTCACACATCTCTGTGGGATGCCCGGATGTCGAGCCCTCCACCAACCACAATGCTTGTCGTGCGACTGCATGGTGTCTTGGTTGGGGGGCTGGTGGGTGATTGAAAATAGATGCAGCTTCATTCTGCCGGCGCATGTCGTTGATCGGCCTACCCTCTGTGGGGACTCTCCCGAGTGGGCTCTCTATCACACGCGCATCTCGAAGAAGGGCCCACGCCTTCTGAGGCAACTCTTCCTCGTAGCCATGCACGGACCCGTGGTTCTTCGCCTCCTCCCTTGCCAAGGGCTGTTCCCGCCTGCTCCCATCTGCTGCCACGTTCTGCTGCCACGTGCTTGAGGTACTCTGCGTGGGTCTCGGACAGCCCTTTGAAGCTCTTCTCCTTGGCTGCTCTCAGGTGGTCCCCCAGCCGATTCACCCTGACATTCTTCACGGCCTTCACGGCCGACTCGATCCCCCCTGCCTCCTTGAGCGGCTCCCAAGCAGCCCGGAAGGCTGCCTCGTGAGAGAAGGCCTGACAAAAGGCCAAGTACGAAGCTGCCCTTTCTTCCGCCGAACCCCCCGCCTTTTTCTTTTCTTCTGGATTTCTGGGAACGACCCGCCCCTCCCCCGGGGCGGGAGGGAGGGAAGAGCCCAGGGCGGTAACGCCTGAGGGCGACATTAGCCAAGTCGCCAACTGAGCAGTCCATCCCAAAGACTCAACAGAGGCCTGGGCATAGGCCCAGATCCATGAGCCATAGAGGCGCAGAGCCGGGCTCACCAGCCACGCGATCGTTTGGCGGTCCTGCCAATTGAAAACTAGGAAACCTGCACCAGGGTCGCCCTACGCCTAATCCCCTCCGTCCCTGCTCTGCAACGAGAGGCGGAGTTCGTTTTCACCACAGTAAAGACAAGATGTTTAGGACTTGCGCAAATTTGTAGGGCTACAGCACCTACATCGTTGTTACTGTACATAAGTCTTCAAAAGTGTTGCTCAAGACTTTCCGGAGCCTAACAGCAAAAGGGAAAACAAACACTACAACTACTGCAAGTAAAATGGACATGTACAGATGAAGTGCCTTTGGGTTATTGGGGTTTGGGCGGCTGAGGGGTTGAGGGTTGCGAGGCGCTGGGCTTCGCGTGACTTCGCCTGTCTTTGCGTGCCTTCGAATGATCGGCATCGCCTGGCCTCGCAATCCTTTCGCATTGCTTCTCATGATCAGCTTCTCCGGGCTCCACACGGCCACGCTGTCAGGCTCAGGATTTGAAGTTCATGCTCGAGCGCTTTTGACCTTCGCTAGGTCACCCTCAACTTCTTGACCACGCACATGTATGAAATCAGGAACCTGAGCTTGTCATAGCCGTTGGCCCAAACACTTGCAATCCAGCCTTAGGTAGGGGTTGTGTTTTCGAACAGCACCAGAAGCACAGAATTTCGAAGAGAGCACCAGTTCCTTGGCCGGCAGTCACTTCGCGCGTGCGATGGCAGCGGAATACGCTCTGCTGAGGAACGCAGATGTGTCGCCGAGAGGCACTGGGCACGTAAGGATTCAACTCCGCGTGGACGCGGCCTCAAGTCAAAAGTGCATATTGCATGGCTCCCCTGGGCAGGGAATCACGAGCTGACGCCGCACGCAAGAGCTTCAGACACAGACAAGCAGACGGCCGCGAGAAAGACGATCGGCCATTTGTCTCAGCTTGAGGATTGCTGCTCATGGTGACACTGCTCATGGTGACACTCATTGGGCGGTTGAGAGTTTCATCTTTTTCAGGTTTGCGAAGTGTTGCCGAGATGCCGAAGCTTTCATGTTGTCTTGCCACATGTACCTGCTTGTTACTCCCGCGCCGCTCTTGCCTCCCTGCCCGCGCCGCCTCCGCGTGGATATGTCAACCCTCCTCCCATTGGTCCGTTTTCGTTTGGGCGAGTCAAGCCTGTTCAGCTGCCTTGTCGATTGTTGAAGCCCCGTCACACCGATGGGGTTGGGCGCCATCGCTCCCGCCTCCTACCAATGTGTAGCGAGGCCAGGGTTTCTTTGAGGCACTGTAAAGCGGACTGGTTCCGTAGTCTTGCGCCTCTTGACGCAGGTTATTTTCTCCCCCACCCCCGCCCAACACCACCCCCTGCTGCGGCGCCCCTACAGGTTGAAGTCACCATGGCAGGGCGTTAGAAACACAGCACTCTACCAGCAGAATCAGCACCAGTACCAGCAAGGCCGTTGTGGTTGGAGGTGGCAGGTAGGGTTTTGAACACGAAGAGTGAATGCAAGGGAGCCAGATCTTCGAGTGGAGCATAATGGAGCGCTCGTCGGTTCCTGGGCAGTGCGCAGGGTGCACGAATGGGGCCTGCCCAGAACTGCATAGAACTGCTACCAAAATATGTCTCATGATTGTTGCTTGTCTTGACCCGGCTGAGCTTCCGAATGACGAATGAAGCGGGGTAAAACGGGTAAACAGCTGCCAGACTTTCACCACAATGACCCATAGCCGTAGCCACGGCGACATCCCAAGTTGGAATGACGTTGACAAACCTCAAGCGACGAATGGCTCTCCCTTTCTCTGGAACATTCCCTGCTGGAGCCATTTCAGCGAAGGAGCAGGAGTTGTTTCGAAATGTGCTTGCAACAACGCTACTGTTGGGGAATGGTTTGGAAGGTTGAGGTGGACAGCCTCGTGGCACCAGAACCGAACGATAGGTCCAGTCCGGTCCAGTGGAAGCTGATCAGGGCGTCCATTTAGTTTACTCATGACTCCCTGTCTAACGGTTTAACGAAAGTTTAACGTGGAGCTGAGATGACGACTTCTGGTTCGATGCCAAGCGCTTCCCCTCGTTTGAAGAGCTCGCAGCGCCGGAAGGCGGCGAAGGCCGCCAGCAATGCAAAGATGTCGGCATCTACGTGAATGCACCCCAGCCTTGCTCAGCTTTCCACAGAAGACGTGTCATTTAGACGTGTTGGATGTGGAGCTTTAGGGTTTTTCATTTGGCTTTTATGCGGGGTTTGCGGGCTTGGGGCGTTCGTGGCCCTCAAGTTGCTTCAGAGCTGCGAGGTGTTGGAGATACAAGAGGTAGACCAGATCAAGGAGACTTTTACGGCCATCTTTGTCTTCACCTTCTCCTACATCGATCCGACGTTGAAGGACTATTCCCCCGAGGTCACGTACATTGACCTTCACGACGCAAAGAACAGTGTCAAAAAAGTGCGGGCTCAGATCAAAGGAATCGAGAAAGGAATCGGGCGAATCTGTATGGTGGACGAAGATGGCCATGAGCTTCGCATCTTCAGGCGCGATCTTCTGGCCATCGGTGACGTGAATTGGGACGAGCACATGAAGCTGGACGCTCGAAGCATCCTTGTTGCTTGCGGCTGAGAGCTTCAATCACAGGCTTTGCTCGTCTGTTAGAATCCTACAAAGCCAGGATTGGGCTTCAGGGGTGCTGTACGGAGGCAGGTTGCAAAGACGCCGCTAGCAACCCCCTGCATTCTTCTCGCAACTGCTGGTACCTTCGACAGCTCCAAGATTCTTTAGATATCTAGGGTTGCAGAAAGTTCGAAACGCTTCCATCTCATCCACAGCTGGTCTGGGAAGCGTCGTGACATGCAGATCGAACTAGGACTGGTCCTTCATGAATGCAGTCGAGCAGCCAGAGAAGATGATGGACAACAGGCCCCAGAGAATGTAGTCGATCTCAAGTATCCAAACATACATATCCAAACCCAAAACCTTAAACCCAAGCTGTACTCGCACGGCATCCTCACCACCAGTGGATCCCAAGCCGGTCTCCAAACCCAGTTGCATGAGGACTCATGTCTATTTGGGTTTCCCAGCACGCGGGAGAAGACTTACACTTACACTGCCCTGATGGCCCCACGCAGTGTGTAGGACTCTCGCTTGAACGAAGGTTCGAGGAGAGGAGTTTTGGAAATGTTATCGGGGCTTAGGTCCTTCCATGCACCATGGTATTTCCATATAGGAAGACATACGATTCATTAACGCTACCGGGTGCCGTGGCTCTGAGAGCACAGCACCGCATGAAGGCAGGATCGACTTCCATGCCGATCTGTAGTGGGGAGGTGTATGCTACACTTAGAGGTGAACCGTGAGTTTTAAAGCCACCGCGACAAAACAACCGGGGTTGGGGTGGGTCGAGACTAACACCCCTAACCTCGAAGTAGGGGTTTGGGCAAGGAGTGGGACGGGGCGGGTAGAGGTTGGAGAGAGAGAAGACCAGGCGATGTGAACAAAATGAACTTTCGGAGTTCGGTGCGAAGACCAGATTGGGCAGGACTGACGGAAAAACAGCTGGGCTGTGAATTGGGCCCCCTCACAGAACTGAGCCAAAGAGAACATGGGTCGCAGTGGGATGAGAGTAGTTGGCCTCAATGCCCCAAACTCCTAAAGCCTTCGTCTCAAGGGTGGAGGGTGGAATGGAGGTGGGGTGAAACACTGAATGTTACACATCCAGGTGCCTGTCTGTTTCACGTATCACTTGCATGTATCCATGCCTGTTGCTCAAGGTTCTAGCAGAGTACGATCTACAGCTGTGCACCTGTAGTAAAAGAGACTCCTGTGTGCCTGT